TTTTTCCCATCTGATCTTCACGCGGCTCTGGGGGATGAACGGTTGGGAATAGGGGTAAAGTGCCCTAAACATTTTTATTCTAGAATTTTGAGCTCTACAACTTTTTATATCACTTTTTTGGACGTACGGCGCGTTATTCACGAGTTATTTCGAAAAAATGGTTTTCAGTGGTAGTTTTTTGGCTTTTTCAACCTCCGCACAAACTGGGGANCCTTAAATATCCGCTATTAGTTTCATACGCCCAAATCACAAATTGTTTCAAAAATGGAGCCTGATTAGCAAACATTCGTATGTTAGACCTTCGTTCATTGGACTACTCCGTACTCACTCGACGCCGGAGAGCCGTTCGGGGTTTCTCCGCGCATTTGAAAATTCATTCCTCCGCTCCTACTTGAGATTAAGTAATGAAACCGCTGTCATTTATTGAGAATTTAATTTTCTATCGATCGGCATCGGTTTCATTCCTTCATCTTAATTAGGGTGGGAGAAATGAATTTTCCAATCGGGAGAGCCCCTTCGCGCTCACTCGATGCCGGCGAACCATCCGGGGTTACTCCGCGCTTTTGAAAATGCATTCCTCCGCTCCTACTTGAGTAGGATAGGATAGAATTTCCCGAAGATTCCAAAAAGCTTCATTGTTCTTCGTGCATGAAAAATGGGGATCGTCGGGAAACTCCTTGCGATCGCAAGACTTTTACCGATTTATTTTTCTCCGTGTGACGTCCGTATAGAAGATCAAAAAATCAATTTAATAATAGGATAAATGGAGTGGAGATAAAAACGTGAATATCTCGGAAATTAGATGCGATAAAATGGGCCCTTTTCACGTGGACGTACACGTATAATTGGACTGAAATTTATAGAAAATTTTAATTTGCTATGACGAAATTCCTTCAAATTTCCGTATTACGGCAACGCGATAAAAATTCCCAATAAATGTTCCCGGAATTTCCGCGAAAATATTACTGAAACCTACAGACATCATTCCTGAATTCAAAACTTTCCTTTGATTTTCAGGATCATGTCACTAGAAATTTTTTACAAAATGACTCAATTTTAACATTGCTTGCTCATTGCATTTCAGAAATGCAGCTGCCTAAAAAAGACACATCGATTCCTAGGAACAACGTTTTTTTTTTCTCGGTAAACACAGACAATTTCTCTGAGAGAAATCTCAGAGTGGAATGCCGGGATTTTTTTTCACTCTGGATTAATTTTTTAAAGATTCAAATTGATACTTGATTCATTCACATCGTTTCATTTCATCGGAAGATATTGTCGATTGGAGACAATTTTTGATGGTCACTGAAGGAGGCAAACCATTCATCTAAATCTCGCAATAATCTGCGAAAAATCTTATTCATTAATCTATTATTGAATTAATCCCATTATGTGTAGATCGCTGGAGAACAACGAAAACGTTCCAACCGTTCAACCGAGTTGGAATGTTTTCTTTCTCCTTTTTCTCCATTTTTTTTCTCATTCGCACTCGTTAATTTTGGCGTTGGACGGGCACGTGACAGCGTGACGGAGACGACAATGAGTGGGAGCGAGCGCGATACATATTCCTTTCTCACTCAGGGGGGGAATAAATATATATAATCGAACATTACTATAGTAAAAAAAAAAACAAAATCTGCACAATTATTCAATAGAATCACAGGAAAACTATAGAGTTTTCCAGCGACAGCGCTGGGATTTTCTATGAATTTTGTGACCTGCGTGTCAATGATAAATATGTCGAGAAAAAGGAAAAGACTTTTAGATCATTAGATTCTGCATTCATTATACCATTGATTATAATATGTTCGATTTTACATTCCTGACAATTATTACAAAATGCGAGGAGCTACCGTATTGAGAACCCCTTTCCGGTTTTCGACAAATTTATGCTCGGGCCCTATCCTACCAACAGTTCCGTACGCTCCATCGTAGTCCATGCGCCACCGCTTCGATTTTCGTTGTTGAACACTTTACATTTGCCCTGCTCATCTCCCCTATAATCTGTGATTAGACTGTGGACAAGTGTGGATGGACTAGAGGTACAAACAAAGCCCCGCCTATTTTATGAAATAATAAAATAATAATCATTTTCATGGCATTTTTTGTTAAGGAAACCTATGATGAGAATAAAGTAAGAAACTATCTATCTGTTCGTTGTATTTTAGTGCTCCTTGGTTTATTTCACTTAGTTTGTGAGTTCAAAGTTGGTTAAACACAGTGAAGATGCCAGTGTTTCAAGAATCTTGTGCAGAGGTAATTTGTACATTTTTTTTCTGTTGTTTCCATAATTTGAAAAGTCTTGTAATTGGTTTAATTTATTTCACAATATCTTGTAGCAAATTCAGGCTCAAACCGTCATCGTTATACATCCAGGGTCGCAAAATTTAAAGATGGGAAGAGCATCTGATCTCAATCCCGTTAATATCCTCAATGCCATTGCAAGGAAACGATTACCTGGGGGTTTCGTTTATAAAGATCCATTTCTACCTTCATCCGTACTAAAGGTAATAAGGCGGAGAACGAGTGAGTAATTTTATTGTCTTTACCCTCGTGAAAATCGGGTCGCTAAATTTTACGAAATGTTGAAGTATAAGGGTGAGTTTTCGGTTGAATTCAATCATTGTTAACTCGTGGTTAAAGCGAATGCAACCAATCGGAGATTTTACCCCGTAGTTAATTTTTAACCGACATCTAACCGTGGTTAGCTAAACCAATAGGGCCTAGTTTTGAAAAATTTTGCCGTAGAAATGTTCGTATAATGGGTGCGTTCCGCAATCGAGGTAGTGGCAGTAACAGTACTGCAACCCTATCCAATTTTGCTTGACGGCAGCTACGGTAGTTGATTCCGGAAGGCACTCAATATGTCATACTCTGTCGGAACCTGTCATAATAGCGCTTTTTTTGGCGCGATTTGTGTCAAATTTTAGACCTCTAACTGAGGGGGTAATCATTCATGAAATCAGGTGTACAGATAAGCTTGAAATCTTATGAAATCTGAGGAAATCTTGAGAAATCTCGTAAAATCCCAGGAAATCCTGTGAAATCTCATGAAATCTCGTGAATAGATAATGGTCCCATAGGTGAATTCCTATGGAAGTATAATACGCAGACTCCGGGTTCCTTATGCCTCCTGTGCAGGGTTGGGCATATCTCGCAGATGGAAGTTTATGACGTGACATTGTCAAATACCGGTAATTTACCTCTGGGGCGTCAAAAATGTCAAAAAGTGTCAGAAAGCTCTTTACAAGGAAGCTAAGCTAAAAAGTCACAAGGGTCAAAAGTGAGAGGGACATCGGCCGGAAATCGTCAAGATCAAACGATCACGAGGGTTATCCTCGCGAAGGTTAAACATCGCAAGGGTTATGCCTTCTTAGGGTCAAACGTCGCAAGGGTCAAACAACGGAAGCAATCCTTTAATCTGGAGGGTGAAACTAATAAGAGGGTCAACGGGGGACGCCAGGCGGTACAATTACAAGGTTCCAACGGTCATAAAGTTTAAACAAAAAAAGCAAGTAGGTTCACAAGGGTCAAACAGGTCACTAGGTCACGGCCTAGTTATCCTGATTGACCCTTATGATTTACCTACTTTGTGATTGTTTCTTGATCGTTTGTGATTTTCCTGCTTGCCTGCGTCTTAATTTTAACTCTTGTGATTTTTCAACTTATCTCTCCTGTAGGCAGAACAATGACAAGGGTGGAATGATCATGAATTAAGAAAAAATAATCTGAAACTATTCCGTTTGGTCTTTGTTGCAACAGCTTATGATCATTTGACGCTCGCAAGTTATGATTGTGACGTTTGACCCTCGCAAGTTATGATTGTCACGTTTGACCCTTGCGAGGTATGACCTTTGCGACGATTGAACCTCGCGACGCATAACCTCAGTGGGTATGATTTTTTCGAATTTTGACCCTTGTAACTCTGACAGGCGGTATTCTCGGTAAAAATCTCCCGGTTCTCCAAGGTGCTAATAGATGGCGCCACATAGGTTTTTGACAGGTCAAAAAACCGACACCTCGCCCGGGTAATTTACCTACTTTATGACCGGTCAAAAACCATGTAATTTACCTAAGGTAATTTACTTGCCCAACCCTGCTCCTGTGTATTGAAAAATTCACGAAACGGACAGAGAGAGTTGCGTTTGTCGCCGCTTCCTATATCTGTCGAATGATGCTATAGAGGCGCATAGACAGGGTTGGGCAAGTAAAATACCACCGCTAATTTACCAAGTTTTTTACATGTAAAAAAAAACAAGTAATTTACCAAGGAGGTGATTGAGAACAGCACAATTTTTCTGGCGCAAAAACAACCCCGTTGACAGGGGGGTTAAGCTCCCGTGTTATGTGCAAGTCTAGCAATGGATCAAACATCGCAATGTTCATACCTCGCGAGGATCAAACACCGCAAGGGTCATCCCTCACGAGGGTTGAACATCGTAACGCTCAAACGACGGAGGTAGGCTAGACAATCTTAAAGGTCAAACGACAACAAGTGGAAACCGGGAAGTAGGAAGGACAATCGTACAGTTCCGACGATTGTGAGAGTCAACTGGGAGAGGCAGTCAGAACAATCACAACGGTCCAACGATTATGAGGGTCAAACAAAAGGAGTAGAATGGAAAATCGTCAAGGGACTAACTGGACACATAATCCTCGCGAGGTATAACCCTATCGATATTTGATCCTCGCGAGACATGATCTTTGCGAGGTATGACCCTCATGCCGTTTGACGCTTGCAAGGTACAAGGCCCTCGTGATGTTTCACCCTCGAAAAGTACAACCTTCGTGCAATTCAGACACGAGGGTTACTGCACTGATAGTTGGGTAAGGGGCCTTCTACCAGTTATTTATCGTTTTCACCATTTTGAGGTAAATTACCAATATTCTACTATGTACCGTAGAAAACCCCGATTTTCAGTGAATGATCCAACCCTGCTAAGGACTATTGGACAAAGAGAGAAAACACTGAGCCTACACTGAGAAAAAAAATATTTTTGTTAAGTTTCAATTATGACAGTCATGTTGCTCTAGAGGATGACTATGTTCCACATAACCTTGGATGAACTCCTCCAATGATTATTCATTGGCTCTAAATTTCTCATTTTCTAGAGGGAGGAATTTCGATTAATTTTTTAATGTTGATAATTATTCAGGAAGTGCACTCAAGATCATAACTAACATGATCATCTTCTAGAGCAATATAATTCTCATAATTGCAATCTAATGATGATTGCATAGGAATGACTCCACTACAAGTGACGCGCGGCACTGATTTCTCTGCTTGAAGAGCACATGAATCAAATAACTAGTGAACAAGAACATATCTAATACAAATGTCAGAATCGTAATTTGAAAATTTATGGAATTTTTTAGAAGTCTTTGAAATCTTATGAATTGCTTTGAAATCCTTGAAATCCTTTGAAGTCCCTTGAAATCCTTCAAATTTCCTTGAAAAAGACTTCAGAAATTGACCGAGATCCATATCATTTCGTGTTTTACGCTTTTAATATTTCGACCTTCTTTACAGTTGAAAATATGCTTCGTATAAAAAAATGTTCAATATATTGGGAAGCCAAGAACTCGAATACTCTATTTATCGGACGAAATAGGAACCCGTGTAGGTAGGCTGCGAGCAGTGAAATATAACTATATTGGAAGGTGTACTGCCGGGCTGAATCACTGAAATATAACTATACTGGGCGTCAGTTTTCTAGTTAAACTAACCATGGTTAACTCGTGGTTAAAGTTGAATCCAGCCCCCCCACCACGTTCCCCACGTGAGGGAAATTATTTCCCCTACTGTCATGAGCACTGAAATATACTATACTAGCGCCGCCGCGGCCGCAAGCGGCCACGACGTTGATGCCCATTTCTTATGCCTTTGCTTTTTTTGTTTCTTTCGAAAATTAATGATTTATCGTCGTTTTAGTCTATTGAGTGTTAAAGTTAATGAAAACAATGCGTCTCGGTTCATTGCTTGTTCAATTTAAATATTATAATAAGTGATCCACTAATTCTGAGTTTCCGCCCTCATTGAATGAAATTTTAATTACTATTGTAATCAAAATTATATTCAGAGTGCAAAACAACAATTATCAAATTTCTCACAGGCCATAATTTTTTTGTCTTCGCCTCCCTCTTCATTTCCGTTTGCAACTTGACAAAAGTATTCAATTATTTTTCTAGAAAAATTATGGGGTCAATTCTGATCTTCTTTCGCTAATTCGAAGTGTTTTCGCTTCATTCATGATTTTTTCACAATTTTATTCGACGATGTCATAAACTTCAAACTTTCATCATCTAATCATCTAAAATTTTTTCAAATTTTCTATAATCTTTCGAAATTTATATTAATTTTTTTCAAGAAACTTGAAAATTTTTGTGGAATTGTGGAGAAAATCTGAAGAATTACCAAATTATTTCCTCCTTTCGCATTTCAATGAATCAGAGTGCAGTATTCGGGCTTTCATGACTGCTTCAAATCAGTTTTATTTGCAAAATGCCGCCCTTTCCTATCAATTGTTTTCCCATTATTTATTCAACAATCCTCGAATATTTGAGAGATATTGTAAATGTTTTGTAATTTTCAAAAACTCCATAGATTGTCTCTAAGTTCTTCAGAAAACCTCATAATTGTCTTGAATTTTTGGAAAACTCCCGAATTATCTTACATTTGGGAAAAAAATTGACAGTTCTGATTTTTTTGGAAACCTGCAACCTTCCTCGAAGTTTCTATAATTCATTCCCTATTCACCCCCTTAGAGATGGATTTTGTAACGAAGCTGAAACACGTATTTATCAATTTCTAACAATCTCTTGATGAGTGCTCACATAAAAGATAAAACCGACTCTGAAATTTTCATATTATCAGTTTCAATAGTTTCGACTTTTGATTACTATCTTAGTCAAGCTGAAGGGCTCTCTTACCATATTTATAACACAATTCCCGTCGGACTCAGAATTCCTTTCTTCCATTCATTGTTCATAATCATTGTCATTGCAAAAAGCAGTGCGACTGATGAAAATGATGTGCCTCAATTTATTAACTATGAAATATTTATATTGCAATGAATAATCTGCGCATATGCTAATTCCTCTGCTCACTGAATAAGATTTCAATCATAATTACAATCCAATTTCTACTCGAACATAATTCGAAGAGTAAATTGCCGAAATTCAATGTTTGGTGATACTCTGGTAAAAGTGCTTGCCAACACCGTGATACAATTTTTCAATCAGTTCACTTGGTAATTCAATTAATCTATTGTTCATATCATCAACATAATTCCCCATTTAGAATATTGTCACCTCATGTTTTCAGCACCAAATTTTGGAAATTAAAACGTAAAATGACAATTTGACTTCTGCTCGATTCTTTTTTGTGAATCTGAAATTCATGTTAATGTGTCAGATATTATGAAAATATCATCATTCCTGTTCTCTACTGTTATGGAATATTGAGCCACAGCTGTTCATTCATAACTGAATTTTTTTAATTCCTATA